CTAAAATATATTTATTAATTTCATCAAGACTTCAAAAGTAATACAGAAAGTAGCATGGCCTTAGCCTCTTCAAAGCTATGATTCTTAGTTAATCAAATACCTAATAAAGACAACGTGAAGCACAGGAAATTATCTAGGTAAAGCACAGAATCTTTATTTCCTAGGCTAATTGCATAGGAGATTATCGAGGTAAAGCACAGAATCTTTATTTCCTAGACTAGTTGCCTAAAGGGTAAAGGAAAAAAATCACCTCCTGTGGTATGATTGTTTCTCTCATGGAAAGCCTATCTGGGTAACTCGGAAGCTAAACCTGATGAAATTTTTTTGAATTGTGCATCCAAGGTTCTGAATGTATGCTATTATAGAGGAATGTAAACAAGAGAATTAATACCTTGAGGAGAATATGTGATTCTTAGTAACAGCAAAGGAAGTTTCCAGGTGACACAGAGCAATTCAGACACATCAAGAAAAGCCAAGAGCATAGAATCAAGTTATACTGAGGGGAGACATTGCATTTCTAGACCTTCAAGACAAACATTTTAGCATCAGGTTATCACAATAGATTTAGAGCCAGAAAAGGAGTACAGGAGCTGGTGAAGAGGCTGAAGGTGAACAACTTGATACAGCAATTTGAACTTTAGCCACATCCAAAATCAATGTTAAAAAGGGCTCTTTTAATTTTACAGCAGAAATTCAATAGCTGCTAACTTGTATTGGTATTTGACTCTTTCTAGGTCAAAAAGAATTATTTTGGCAGAAGTTAGGACATTTAATAAGGATCTCTTATGGCCCAGGTCTTCTAAATTGAGACATGATTACTAGATCCAGGTGAGTCCTGACTGCATGATTTAGGAGAGTCCTAAAAGTCTCAAAGTTAAATGGGTTTGGGGGGAACTCAGAGTTATGTGTGACCTTTTTTCAGCAAATGGTTGCTTGGCTGTATTTTAAATTTAAGGCCAGTTAACCACTTGGGATCTGTCTTGAAGGACTAGCTCTTTCATGTTCACAGTTTTTCACATGGCAGCTTTGCAGGCCTGCTGTTAATAAAACTGTGGTTTTAATCTCCAATTCCCTAATGACAAATGATATTAAGCATCTTGTTATAGGTTTATTAGCCATTTGGATATTCTCTTTAGTCATGTGCTTGTCAAAATCTTTATCTATTTTTATACTGGATTTTTTACATTTTATTATTGATTTGTAGGAAATTGTTTTATATTGTGCACTTTATCGATTATATGTATTACAAACATCTTCTTTAATTCTTTGGTTTGCCTTTTCACTCATTTATGAACCCAAGGTTGTAATTGTGTGTGTGTTTAAATAAATGAAGTTAAATATCAAAGTACTTTAAAGTAAGAGTACCATTTCTTGAAATTTTTATTTATTTTTCATTTTATGGGTATATGTGTATGTATGCATGTGTACGTATTTGGTTGTGTTTTAGAAGTCTCTAGGCCACCCTCGTGTTTGCTGATTCATTAAAAAGACTCATAAAACTCAAGAACAAGTTACACTCCCAGCTGGAGTTTATTCCGGTAAAAGGACGCAGCGCAAAAACAATAGGAAAGTGATGAACATCAGGCAGAGTCTGAAAAAGGCAGAATCCTTTGAGTCCTTCACCATCTGGGTTGCACAGGATGTCCTTTCTCTCCAGTAGTAAACTACAGGGACATGTTTGAAATTGCTGGCCAGGAAAGCCTGCTTGAGTCTCAGGTCTGAGGTTGTATGGAAGGCTGGACACATGGGCTCATCCTGCTATATGTCTGGCCATGATAACCAAATCCCAAGACCCTAATAGTAAATGAAGTGCACACCATCAATGTTTACATTTGTGCAAAATAAATGATCTTCACAAATTGCTTTGTCACGGGCTGTTGTTCCAGGTGTCCAAGACAGAATCACCAACCAATAATATAAAGAGCCTTTAGATGGTTATTTTTCCAGGGTTTGGTCAAGGATCAGTCACGATTCTAGGAATTCTGTGGAGATATGTAAAGAGTGAGCATCTGGACCTGTCCTGGTAACTCTTTAAAGGCAGTTATATAGATAGCATTTCTTAGTGAGAAAATCAATTCCTGAAGACAGTATAATACTTCAAATTGAAAACCCAGAAATTTGTCTGAAAAACTTCCATCAAAAAGAAACAGAAGGCTTATGTAAGAGAGGGATTATCTGTTCTTTGATAAAGATGTTGTCTATACAACTCGCTCAGTGTTTTTTAGTCCTTTTATCAACTTCTTTCCTGGTTACTTGGGTTATAGAATCATCACTCTTTCCTGCACCTATTTTGTTAATTCTTACTTTCCAAAATCACCATTTTGTAATATTCAAACTTATGAATATAGAATTATATGTCATGTTCTCTCTCTACTTGGTATTCTTTTCAATTGGTAAGTCTATTCTTTCATGTATTCTTATTACAATTTGCATTTTCTTTCCTTTTTTCACTTGAATAAACTACTTTGAAGCATATCTATTTAAACAAATTTTCAAAAACTAAGCTTTTTTTTACAAAATAAATGTCATTTTATTATTAATTAATTACTCTGTTTATATTTGTTAATTCTACCTTTCTGTTTCTTTTTTCCTATGAACAGAATGACTAGAATAATTTCATTTTTCTCTTGTTTGATACTGTAAGTGTTGAAGATTAAACCTTTTCTTATGAAATGCATTCGTGTTTTTCATTCATTTGAAGACATCTCTTTAAAGCATCTTCCCAGCTCCCTTCTGCCCTAAGGGTAAGTTGCTATAGGCAAGGTTACTTAATCTAAGCATCTGGTTGAAACTCTCAAAGTCTCTGTCCTAGGCATTTGAAGGGGGTTGGAAATATGTCAGAGATTTTTCTTTTGTGAATGAATATATCTTCAACCACTTCAACACTTATTTAATATTGATTGTGCCCAGATACTGCAGTGTCATTAGTTTTTTATCTCCTGGTAGGCCAGAGGTCAGTGAAAATGAGGAGGAAAAATTAATAAAAATCATGATGGTCATTTAGCGAACTATGTAATGGTTCATTTAACAAACTCAGTTGGAAAAGTCAAGAGTAAGCTGGACTTCCTGCTTGCCCTCAAGGTGCTCAGTGGAGTGAAAAAGACTAAGTGGGTAGTGACTGTAGAGTATAAAAGTCCTGTGATACTTGAAACCTTGATGAAGCGCAGAGGAAAGGTCAGATATTTGGGAGTTTAGAGGCTCTATCATGCTTCCCTCAGATTCATATGTCTAAGCCCTAATCTTCAGTTCCTCAGAGCATAACTGTATTTGGAGAAAAGTCCCTATATGAGGAGATTATGTTATAATGAGACCATTATGGTGGGCCTTAGTCTAATCTGACTGGTGTCCTTCTCAGAAGAGGAAATTAGGACACTCAAGAAGACAGCAGGGATGCACACTCAGAAAAGACCGTGTGAGGGTGCGGTGAGAAGGTGGCTATCTGCAAACTAAAAAAGGGGTCTCAGAAGAAGCAAAATCTGCTGGCAACCTGGTCACAGTGGTTTGTTATGGCAGCCCAAGTAGGCCAATAAATCCAGAGGGGAAGGTGGCATGGGGAAAAAGTCAAACAAGGCTTATAGAAGGACATAGTACTGTCTTGAAGGACAAAAAAGAGTTACAGGAAGACTCATATACATTCTGTCCATGGGAAAACATTTCCATACGCTAAATGTTAAAAAGTCAAACTGCTCAGACAATAAAAACAATTCTGTTCTTAAGGAACTACAGACACTGGAAACTCCTAATTATCTCAGCCTATTTACTCATACTTCAACCACATAGCTACAATATTTCATGTTTGTTAAAATAATTTTTTTTCAGAATTAAAATCCCAAGCTTAAATACAATTTGATTAAGACAAAAGATTTAATTGCTTTCAGTTCATCGAGTGTTTTTCATCTTTGTCTTATTTCTAATTTTTGAGAGATTTTCCCCATGAAATTATCCTTTTTAATGTTTTTGTTTTTGTTTTGCTTAAAAATCACTTTTAAAAGACATCAGTTCATGAGTAAAAACAGATTAAACTATTCATCTAACTGCCTAACTGTTCATATAACTGTTTTAGAAAGACAGCAAGCAATATTGCTGATGTTGGACCGTGGCTGGCAGAGCATATTTTCACGATACACTTGACCTGGGTACAGGAAACTTTAGGTATACAAAAGGCAATTTTGAGGTGCCGGTCTGGAGGACACTTCCCAGTGTGAGAGTCAGTAAAAGGGGAAGACTAATTCCAAGAAGAGGGAAAATCTTGTGCTAGGGTGAATGCCGAGCACCGGTGAGTGAAGAGCGCAGGCGAGGGAAAGCACAGGTGACTAAAGAGCACAGGTGAATGAATAACAGCACAAGGGAGGGAAGAGCCCTCCTTGTTGCTGCAGGAAAAGCAGCCCTGGGGGACTGACGGGAGGTCAGAACTGGGAGTTGAGGTCAGGGAGGGGCCGACGGTCCGCAGGGCCTGTAAGTCGTACGCGGGTAAGCGGCCTGCAGTGCACGTGGGCAATGAAACACGCAGAGCCAGCGGGGCTTCAGACCCGGACAAGACCGCGGTTCCGGCTCCAGCGCGCGCGCGCCCCAGCCTCTCATAAACTGGGCATACGCCACAGAGGATCGGGGGCAGAACGCAGCGACAGAGCTACCGTTGGGCCGAGGGCTCAGGTCCTCGCTGGGCGTCAGCCTTGGGAGCCGGCGCCGGGGGACAGACGGCGCAGGCCGGCGGCGACGCGCACCTGAGG